TGAGTACCCTATTTCTGACGTAAAATGCGAAGTGTACAGAAATATTTTCTCGACTGAAATAGTTAATACTAATAATAATAATAACTTTTTATTAAGGACTTGTAGGGCTCACATCAAACGAGCCCATAATGGTAGGACAAAATGGGAGCATTTTATAGTGGATTAGCTCGATCTTTCATCGGTCTTCGTCATTCCGGAACATAAATGTGTCGAGGTTCTTTTTAAAAACTTGTATCGATGATTACATCACAATATCTGCAGGGAGGACATTCCATGGCTTGACTACTCGGACAGAGAAGGAAGTCTTCCGCACGCCCAGCCTTGCCTGCTGAGGGGGCAGTTTTAAGGGTGACCTCGAAGGTTGGTCGTGGTATCGAATTCAAAAAGTCGCCAAAGTCCAGGCTGCAGTTGAACCCCTTTACTACGCTGAATGCTTGCAAGAGATCCCCGCGAAGTTACATGTAATTCAAAGGGAAGAGATTAACATTTACTAGGAGGGTTGCATACGGAAAGGATCTTTGGCCCCTAGCCATCCTTGTGGTTCTCCTCCATGCTCTTTGGAGGCAGTTTTTATCCTCAACCGCCCATGGTCTCCAGGCTTGTATGCCGTATTCCAAGTGCGGCCGCATGAGTATCCCGAAATTCTTTGAGAAAACTTCGTCAAAATCCATAAACATGTGGCGGTCAAAGATGTTAGATCAACTTAAACCACGCACAATAAGTTCGTTTCGTCTACTGTCAGAAGTCAGGTAGCTGTGAGGACTAGTTTATTCTGTACACTGGGCAGGTTGCCGTAAGTTGGCGGTTTGCTTGCAACAGAGAAAAGCGTCCGTTCACGGAGAGCGTCAGTCGCGGTGTGTGTTGTTTACACGAGTGTGAGTGTCTAAGTCAGCAGGAGGGGGTGACTGTCTGCGTGATGGTCGTGTGATTGGACTAATTAGGGGACGAATGGAGGGCGCATACTCACAAGGCCTCACGGGAATCAAGCCAAAGCGTTCGACGCGCGTTAGGCGATACTAGTTTTTGAGTGCAGCCGGGGTTCACTGCAGCTGGACCGGAGGTGTCCCAGTTCTAGCCGGCGGGGGTGGTGGTGCGTCAGCGGCCTGTCAGTGCTTATCGCAGTCATCGACCGACAAAACGGAGCCGGAGAAAAGGGGGGCTGGAGCGGCTGCTACAAGCACACGTTTGATGGCTTACAGTATGGACATTGCGAATTTGCCACTCGCGAACAACGAGCGGATGGTTTTAGGGGACTCGTCGTCAGTTCACCGAGGTCCTTTTAGGCTTCGACGTATCGTAAGGCTGCACCACCCAGAAAGTAGTCTTCTGCGCTGGCAGATCTGGCTGTGTTGCCTAGGTGAAGTATGCTACAATTACTAACGTTAAACCGCAGGTTTAATAATAATAATAATAATAATAATAATAATAATAATAATAATAATAATAATAATAATAATAATTTTATTTAATGCCACTTTACAGGCATTGTCAAGGGGAGCGATTAAGCACAAATCCGACCAGCAGTGAAAAAAACTCCTGAGGTAAAGGAATAAAAATATAGGTGATGGTGATTTTCATGGTTTGGAGCGTTCAGAAGAAAAAAACTGCTGGTGGTACATTTTCAACCGTCAAGAAGGGGTGGGGGAGGGGGGGTTGCACGGTATCGGAGATTATCGGACGTCATTTCCTTTCATGAAGTTGGGGATAGTCAAGGTAGAGGCGTTGAGGAACAGCTGGTGAGGCCGGCCATAGTATTCAGAGACCACAAACGCCATCGCTACGGTAGAGTCGATCAGTGGATTCAGCACCCAAAATTTGTGGGAGCTTTACTGAATGCAAAAATCGAGTAATAGTTCGCTTAAATAAAGGATAAATTTGCAGAGTTTTCGCACTCATGGGTAGTTTATTCCAAATAGCAATTGCATTTACAGAATAGAACCGACGATATTTAACAGTACGTGCCAGAGGCAGAAATAAGAAGACCTCACGGTGACTGTTACGTCGTGGGTGGATATTATGTCTTAAAGAGGTGAGTGGATTAAATGTGTGATTATACAAGAGGTTAAATAGCAAAAATAGTCCCTTTTTTAATCTACGGAGCCATAAAGGATCAAGGCCCGTAAGACGGCAACGTTCTTGGTAAGACAAATGTCGATGTTCCGGGGTTAAAATTCTCTTGGTAAAAAAGTGTTGAACGGATTCTATTTTCTTCCACTCAGTAGCACGCATGAGGCTAAATATAAACTAACAGTATTCCAGGCCAGGTCTAACGTACATGTTATAAAGGCGCATTCTGATGTCCCTAGTTTTAAAGTTTCCGAGGATAAACCCGGTCGTTCTACGTGCTTCGGAGACTATAAAGGCGCGGTCCTCCGAGAGATTGAGACTCTTGGAGTATGCTACGCCCAGATCCTTAATAACCTTAAGCATATTTATGGCGTGACCTTCAATACTTAGTTGAGGTTGGCGGTCGTCGCCAACCACCATGACTGTGCACTTATGCAGAGAAAGAGAAAGGCGCCATAGGCGGCACCACTGGACGAAAGCCTGTAGATCGCTCTTTAGGAGTTCAAGCACGATGTCATGATCTGCCGACTTATATCGATATGCAACTTTAAGATCATCGGCATACATGAAAGGCTAACCATTCTGAAATAAATCGGGTATATCATTAACGAAAAGGCAAAATAGAAGTGGCCGAGTACACTACCCTGAATGACTCCACTCCTCACACGTGTGGGGTTGGAGATAGTATTGGAAATCTTAACTCGTTGTGTACGAGTGCCCAGGTAAGAGGATATAAAATTCGAAAGTTTGCCACCTATTCCGAAAGAGGACAGGTTCAAGAGAAGAAGAGCACGGGCAACACGATCAAAAGCCATATTGAAATCGAAATATACAGTGTAAAGTGCAAAGTAATTGTCCTTAGATTGGAGAACATAGTCAAAGAAAGAGAGTTGACAGGTGTCACAAGATCGACCACTCTTTAAACCGATTTATGTTCGTTTTTAGTCTGTCTTCGTCGACAGGGTCACGAGTTACACTCCGTATCTCCACGTCATCGGCAAACACTGCTGCTTCGCAGTCCAAAGCTCTTGTACAATCGTCCACGTATAGTAGGAACAAAATGGGCCCAAGTACTGAACCACTCTTGACCACAGCAAGGCCTGATTTTCATTGACCGATGCACACAGCTTGGTGTCGACCCACAAGGAAGTTTACGATCCATTTTAGAAAGTTGTCCTTGACCCCTATTTTTAAGCTTGTGTCACGGTGTCGGACGCCATCTGGAGGTCAATGCCTGGACCGCGTGCCTGTCATAGAGAGCTTGGGTCCAGCTCTGAAGCGATGACAGCAAGTTCGTCGTGCAGGATCTTCCTTTCCGTAACCCATGTTGGAGTTTTGATAGCAGATCGTGAACTTCCAGGAACTGCATCAGTTTGCTCTTCATGATCCTCTCCATAACTTTGCAGAAAATGCATGTCAAGCTTGTGCGTCCGAAATTTGTCGTCTACATCCTACTACCTCCTTTGTATAGCGGAGAAATATGCGCAGCTTTCAGTCGTTCGGAAGTGTTCCTGTGTCAAATGACATTTGAAGGAGCATCGACAAAGGCACAGAAAGCTCACTGGCAAGTTCCTTGAGAAGCTTGGATGGAATCTCGTCTGGTCCTAGTGACTTTGATTCGTTCAATACCTCTAATTCTCTTCGGCCAATGCCTTCTGAGAAGAGCATATCACTGATGCTTGGGGTCGGCAGTTCTTCTGTGGAGGGAGGAATGAACCTTGCCTCGTTTGTGCAGATTGATTCGAAAAACTGTGAAAAATACGCAGCTTTATCCCTGTTGTCAGCAATCTGAAAGCCATCAGTAGTCCTTATTGAGGGGATTTTATGTTAACATAAAACGAAACGAAATGAACAATTTTGTTCCTTTCGTTTCGTCGGAGGAAACTGTGGAGTAATTTTCGGTTTTTCGTTGCTTTTTGTAGCAAATTCTTCTCGAATTCCCGCCGCGTTTTTGTAGCCATATTTCTCAGTTGTTCCAGCGTGTCTTGTAGGCGTTGAAATATTCAACTTTCGTAGGTACGCAGTATTTCCTCCATAATTTGTGTTTCCTATTGATTTTTTCTTAAGGTTATTATTTAGCCACCCAGAGCGTTTGTCCAGTCTTATAACGGTCCGTGGGCAGTGGTTGTGGACGAGCTGCAAATTCCAGTCATCGTTGACATTACCCGTAAACAATGAGCTCCCTCTGAGACCGGATTAGTCTACCCTTATCTGATTGCAGACGTCCCTTTAACATTGTGTCTTTTTTGGTTTGGGTATGTGGAATGGTGAATAACGAATAATCCCAAATAAGCACTACATGGTCACTTCGGGGCATGGAGGTGACCTCGTCTATGCTGTCTGGTGCTTTTGTACAAAGCAGATCCAGGCAGTTTGTGCTTTGTCCTTCACGTGTCCTCTTTGGAAACACTACATGTTGTGTGAGGGGCACCTTTAATGTTTTGTTCAGCAGACGGTAATAAAATGCTGATTTTGGACCTAACACTTGGACCGTGTTCCAGTTTGTTCCTGGTGCGTTGAAGTCGCCCTGTAGCAGTTCGCGTCTCCTTGCCTTCCGCCTTTGTCACGCTGCTGTCCTGTCCGCCTCACACTCCGTGTCGATACGCTTCTGGGACGCGCGAGTGCTCAAAGCCAATCAACGCTGTCCCAACTCTGATTGACTGGAGGACGTGGAGACAACAAAGGGCGCACACGCGCAGACACAACACCTCGAGGGCGGACGCAGACAACAACTTGCTCGGAGCGCGCTTGCGGCGACTGCCCACACAGCCTTTGTGTACACGCTTTCCAAGCAGTAAAGTTTGTCCAGCTCAAACCGTCTTCCCTGACTTTTGATTAGGAATCTTTATCTTGTCGACCACACAACTTTCGACAATTGGTGACCCCGAACGAACACCAATCTTCCTAATCTACGATATAGTCAGGCATTGATCATGGACAATTTTCCACCGGAAGTGCAACATATTTTGGCACCCGCCTTCGGCATTCTTTCGGCCACGCAACTTAATCAGATGGCTGATCGGCTTATGGAGATGTACGGTTTTTCCAAGCCGTCTATTTCAGCACTCTCAACTCCCTCAGCTCCTCCTGCGTCTCCCATTTCGCAAATAGAGATGGAGCTCAACAAGCTGGCCGATGATATAGCCGCTCTCCAGAAGCCCACAGTTTCTGCCTCATCTCGGAGCCAACCGCAGCCGCCCACCCCACATGTCCAGTCTTCTCATTCAGCCAGTCCAAACGCAGCTGCCACCTGCTGGTACAACACCACCTTTGGTGCTAAAGCCCGTCCCTGCATCTCTCCTTGCTCCTTCACTTTCAAGCAGAAAAAACGGGTAAAACCGGTCAGCCGGAAGGTCAGTGCAAGCAATCTTTCCGACAGCTCTAACCCTGGTCGCACATTTTACGTCCGCGACACCCGGAGTGGCAGACGTTTCTTGGTTGACACTGGTGCCCAGCTAAGTGTCATTCCACCCACACCAGCTGATCGTCGGTGCCCCAATCCCGGTCTTTTCCTACAGGCCGTCAACACATCGCCGATTACCACATTTGGCACCTGCTCCCTCTCTCTGGACATCGGTCTCCGGCGTCTCTTCCCTTGGGTCTTCGTCGTTGCTGAAATCCCCTGTGCAATTCTCAGTGCAGATTTCCTCGCCGCTTTCGATCTTCTGGTCGACTGCCGTCAGTCACGTCTACACGACAAGACCACCAACCTCACTGTCCGGGGTATCTCTTCCTCCGACGCCTCCCGTCATCTTGCCGTCTTGGACCCTGAACCCGAGAATCCATTTCGGCAACTCCTCGCCAAATACCCCGGCCTCACTCGTCCCAACTTCAACGTTTCTATTCCACCACATGACGTTGTTCACCACATTCGGACCACCGGCCCTCCCGTGTTTTCTCGCCCCCGCCGTCTCGCGCCTACACGTCTTGCTGCCGCCAAGGCCGAAATCGAGCACATGCTTCAAATGGGCATCATCCGCCAGTCTGAAAGCCCATGGGCCTCACCCCTCCACATGGTTCCGAAGGCCGCCACTGGTGACTGGCGTCCCTGCGGTGATTACAGGACCCTGAATAACGTTACTGTCCCGGACCGCTACCCTGTCCCACATCTTCAGGATTTTGCCGGTGCCCTATTCGGCAAGTCTGTATTCTCGAAGATCGATCTGGTCCGTGCTTTCCACCAAATTCCCATTGCCCCAGAGGACGTTTCGAAGACGGCCGTTACCACCCCCTTTGGCCACTTTGAGTTCCTGCGCATGCCGTTTGGACTTCGCAACGCCTCCCAGACCTTCCAAAGGTTCGTAGACAGAGTTCTTCGCGGCCTACCATTTGTCTACGCCTATATTGACGACCTTCTGATAGCCAGCTCCACCGCCGAAGAACACGTGGAGCATCTGGCAACGGTGTTTGACCGCCTTCAACAATTTGGCGTTGTTCTCAACTCGTCAAAGTGCGTCCTCGGTGTGCCCTCCCTAGAATTTCTCGGTCATCTGGTCGACTCCCACGGCATTCGGCCTCTTCCCTCAAAGGTTGCCGCCATTCGGGACTTTCCACCCCCTACCTCGAAGCGTCAGTTGCAACGGTTTCTTGGTATGGTGAACTTTTATCGCCGGTTTCTCCCGAGCTGTGCCGATACCATCCAACCTCTGACCAATCTCCTCTCAGGTTCTAAGCGCACCTTTGAACTTACACCAGCAGCACTCACGTCATTTGAGCAGGTAAAAGCCCTTCTGGCTGACGCCACCATCCTGACTCACTTTCACGCTGATGCACCCATATCTTTGATGGTCGATGCCTCCAATGTTGCTGTTGGCGCGGTTCTTCAACAAAGTCTGCCGGATTCTACCGTGCCTTTGGCTTTCTTCTCCAAGAAACTATCCAAAGCCGAAACCCGCTACAGCACATTCGGACGTGAACTTCTCGCCGCTTATCTTGCCGTAAGGCACTTCCGGCATTTACTCGAAGGTCGAGAGTTCACAATTTTCACTGATCATAAGCCACTCACGTTTGCAATACATTCCCACTCTGACAAGCTAAGCCTCCGGGAGATCCGTCACCTGGACTACATTTCGCAGTTCACTTCAGACATCCGCCATATTGACGGGTCACGGAATGAGGTGGCTGACGCACTCTCAAGGCCCTCTATTGCTCATCTTCAGCTTTCACCCGGGATAGACCTCACTGAGATGGCCGCTCAACAACGCCGTGTCGGTCCACCCTGTGATGAGGATGTTTCCGGACTCCAACTTCAGGAACTACCACTGACGACTGGCAACGGCACCATTTTATGCGACGTATCCACCCCTTCCCATCGTCCATTTGTGCCACCATCTCTCCGCCGCAAAGTTTTCTCCTCCCTGCACAATCTCTCTCACCCTGGGAGTCGAGCAACCGACAAGCTGGTTTCCGACCGCTTCGTCTGGCCTGGAATGCACAAGGACCTGAAAGCATGGACACGGGCGTGTCTCGGCTGTCAACGGAATAAGGTCCGACGGCACAACAAAACTCCCATTGGCACCTTCCCTACTCCGGACGCACGATTCAGTCATATCCACCTGGACATCGTAGGCCCCCTGCCTCTGTCCAATGGCTACTCCTATCTCCTTACCTGCGTGGATCGATTCACCCGGTGGCCGGAAGCTATTCCACTGCCTGATGTCGCAGCTCCAACGGTCGTCAAGGCTTTCCTCAGTCGTTGGGTTGCCATTTTCGGTGCTCCCTCCATTATCACGACTGACCGTGGGGCCCAATTTGAATCCCACCTCTTCCAGTCTTTACTCTCCTTTTTAGGCTGTACTCGCATCCGCACTACAGCCTATTATCCGGCAGCCAACGGGATGGTCGAGCGGTTTCACCGTCAGCTGAAGGCCTCCCTACGCGCCGCAGACGATCCGGAGAACTGGACAGACCACCTCCCCCTAGTCCTCTTGGGCATCCGCTCCGCTCTGAAGCCGGACCTTGACTGTTCCGCAGCTGAACTGGTGTTCGGCGCCACCGTCCGACTCCCCGGTGAGATGATCTCGCCAACCCCACAAGGTGCGGTTGAGGATCCTACCAACCTCCTGCATCGCCTCCGGCAGTTTATGCGGACACTTTCTCCGGTTCCTCCCAGGTCCTCCGCCTCTCCGTCTTATCTCGAGAAGGACTTGGCAACGTGCTCTCACGTCTATCTCCGATGTGATCGAGTTCGCCGGCCCCGGGAACCACCCTACGATGGCCCCTTCCGAGTTATCTCTCGTGGGACGAAGAACTTCCGCATCCAACGCGGCACTCGCGAGGAGGTCGTGAGCCTGGACCGTCTCAAAGCTGCCGTTCCGGACACTCCTCCGGATGAGCCCTGTGGTTCCCTACACCCTGCTCCGCCTCCCCGACCCTCTATCCCTCCGTCCCGTATACTTCCTCTGCCCTCATGTCCACAACTCCCAACTGCAACTACTCCTTCATCAACAAACAACACTGTAACCGCGGGCCATACTCACTCTCGCGTCTCCTTGCCTTCCGCCTTTGTCACGCTGCTGTCCTGTCCGCCTCACACTCCGTGTCGATACGCTTCTGGGACGCGCGAGTGCTCAAAGCCAATCAACGCTGTCCCAACTCTGATTGGCTGGCGGACGTGGAGACAACAAAGGGCGCACACGCGCAGACACAACACCTCGAGGGCGGACGCAGACAACAACTTGCTCGGAGCGCGCTTGCGGCGACTGCCCACACAGCCTTTGTGTACACGCTTTCCAAGCAGTAAAGTTTGTCCAACTCAAACCGTCTTCCCTGACTTTTGATTAGGAATCTTTATCTTGTCGACCACACAACTTTCGACAGCCCATTATCATGATATTAGGTCGACTGGAAAATTTTTCGAACTGCCCCAATAATTGAGTGCCGGCGGTTTGGTCTGTCCTAGGTGGTCAGTAGACAGTGGGGACATCGAGACACAGGAAACCAGTAGCCTTGGTGGTCAAACAAATAGCTTCCGTTCCGCACGCAAACTTGGTGGCGTTATCCGACACTGTCAAGTCTTCCTTCACACACGCAACTATACCACCATCCTGACGAAGTTCCCTCTCCCTCCGATAAATTTGGTATCCAATTAAGGCTATTTTGCTATCGCTAATATTTCCGGACAGACAGGTCTCCGTTACTACTAAAACCTCCGAAGACTGTTCCGCAACACAAAGTTTGAGCGCGTTTAGTTTCGATACGTGGCTTTGGGCATTTGTGCACAAACACCTCAATTCTGCACCAGCCGAATTTCCGAATTTCCAGTCCTGAGAGTCCACACCAGAAGGACCAGTAAGGAGGATGATTCCTTTCGACACCTCCTCGATGGTGAGTCCCTTTCAAATGCTGAGAGACAGAAAGGCCTCCACATCCTAATGACCTCCTTCCCTAAAACATCGTTGCAGTGTCAAAGGACAGCCAAGCACGCGATTCGGGTGTCACTCGCGCTGAAGCGATGCTTTATGCAGACCGATAAAGAGCTGTTCGGAAAAACCTACGGAGCATTTGTTCGGCCTAATTTAGAGTATGCAGTCCAGGCCAGGTGACCGTAGTTTAAGAAGGATTTTAAACACTTAGAGAGAGTACAGGCGATAACTGCGAAGACGGTCAACAATCTTGATCGTCTACCTTACGAAATCAGACTGGTTGAACTAACTTTGTTTCCTCTCAATTACGAGCAACTGCGCTGCAATCTCATTCACTCCTACCGGATTGTCAGAGGTCGTCAGCGTGCCTTGGACTTTGACGAATTTTTCGAATCGTCTGGGACGGACTGTCTGCGTAATCATCCTTTTAAACTGCAGAGGAAGCTGGTCCACCCGGACTTCCGACGGAACACCTTCTCGTAGAGGATCAGTGGAACATGGAACGGACTCCCTGATGCAATGGTTCCTTCCGAAACTGCTCAATCCTTTAAGTGTCCACTAGGCGCTCATTTCCAGAGAAACCACTGTAATATAATCACGATTGTGCTAGTGGTGGCATTTTGCACCTGGCTCACAACTACCGTTACCTTTGCATTTTCAGAACTGCTGATGTAACAATTGATTCTGTCGCTGTCCTTCGATATGAATAGGGAGTTCAAGGGCGAAAGCCCCATCCCCTTACTAAACTCGTGCCATTGAATTAGTTAGACTGGCTACCGAATATTACAGAGCACTCAGTTTCACCTAGGGGATAGTCTTCGATAGAGATTATTATTTCCCTGTCACCTGGCAAAAATAAAAGCTTGGGGCAGAAGAGAATGCTTGTTAAAGTGTGTTCATATGAAAAAACGCTAGTCCTTTGGAGTCAAGACTGTTGTTACCGCTGGTGCTGGGTGAAATCCCCCAATTAATCAAAGGAGAATTGAAGCCTCCGATATCGTGTTTTTCTGGCCATGCAATGCTAATATGGAAAATAGTTGCATGTTCTCAACACTCTGCACGCTTTACCCCAGATAGATCCGATATGAATAAAACCGAAAAACGAACTGTGGAAATGTTAGAATCTGCTATATTTATGTGATAGTATGCTTTGAGGAGAACCAGTGAGCTGGGATATAAGTACGGGTCGACGATGAGAATGAGATCCTCTTCCACGAACGATCATCTTGTCAGCGTGCCTAAAAAGCGGACTAATCGTCGACTGCAAGTTCCAAGCCTAATACGTCTGTGGCTGTCAAGATTTACGTGGCATGCATTATATAGAATAGAATAAGTTTATTATAGCACCTCTTTGGCACTGTCAGTCTCCCCTGAAAACCGGAAAAACCTAAACCAAACTCATTCATTTCGGCTGCACGTTGACTTCCTTGGTTTTGGATGTCGACTTAGTCGATAGAGCGCGAATTCAGAGTTTGTTTTAAGTTAAAAATCTGAGTTCCGAGGCAAAATAATAACAGAGTTAGAAAACAGTACAACATATACAATATAGAGATTAAAGTTTGGGGTTTTGTAAGATTTGGGGTCATGAATATATCGCCCCTGCTGGAACTCGAAGAACCTTGAGATCGGCCTAACATTGCAACTGCGTTCGAGTTGAATAAATTTGGGTGTCTGGTAGCTGCCGGTTGTCAGTCTATGTGGACATTTGGCAAGAGTTGGTCGTTCCGTTCGTTCGTGTATCACAGGAGGCTTGCCATAGTCGTCAATCAAATTAGGCAAACGTTTCTACAGGACTGGGTGATTCAAAGCCAGTTGTACCTGATTATAAGTGTTGATTTATTGGGATCCGCATTAATTGAACGTTTCTTCCGAGAAACTATACGAGGGTTGCCAGAAGACGGGTGAAAAACACAATGCTAAGGGTTCAAAAACATTTCAGTCAATAGAGAGTGGACCAGAGTGCTTAAAGCCTCATTTTGCGGCATGATACTTTTTTGGCCATTCCCGCAGTGTTCGGAGGAAAGGTATCTGCCATGTTGGACAAATTCACCTATTAGGCGGAAAATCCTCACGGAGCACAATAATCGGTGATGAAGTTATGTATCGGATCTTTTAAGCCGGCCAGGTTTATGGTCAGCTACATAGCCCAGTCTCGAATCTCCACAGCCTCCATCTCAACACAAAATTAAATGTACAATAAATTCATCTTGACAACGCTATCGCGCGGAGCGGAGGTCTGGACAATCTACGAGAAATAAGTGCGGAAACTTAATCAATTCCACCTCAGTTGGCTGCGGAGACTAGCAATGATGAGGTGACTAGACAGGATCCGGGACAGGATCCTCGTGAAAACTGAAGTCCCCAGCATCCACGTCATGCTTAGGCAACTTCAACTGAGCTGGAGATGTCACCTCTCGATTATGGATGACGAGTGTAGGCCTTAGCGCCTATTCTCGGCAACGTAGTCGTAGACAAGACGGACAAAACAGACTCCACTTGGACGCCTCGAAAACCCCTTTCAAGCAACTGCAAATCAACCCGGAGATCTGGAAGGGCCTAACCCAGGACCGACCAATCCGTAGAAAATCAGTGTAGACTGAATCAGAAATCTACGAAATCAACCACATCACCGCTAACGAAACACAAATAGCGACTCCAAAGTCGTAGGCATGGCGGACCTTTAACCCCAAATCTCCAAAACTTCTAACGTGAGCACGCTGTAAAGTATCATTCCGAGTATGGATAAGCATCGTCGGACATTTCGGACTTAGTGAAATAACGACATCAGAAAACAACCTTCTGTCTTCGCAGACGCATTCGTTATCACCTCCTTCACTGACTCCCATGGCGATCACGGCAGGGACTACTCACATGGTGATCGCACGCCTGGTGCTCCGTTGTTGTCGATCATTGTCACATACCCCATCGCCGCCACTTCCGATGCTCCCACTCCCTAGTCCCTTTCAAGCGCCACCCTCACCATCACCGTACCCACAACCAACAATATGGACTCGACCTTAACCTGTCCTCATTGCGATCGTACATTTACGTCACGTATTCGTCTAGTCGGTCATTTGCAAATCCATCACACAGAGACTGACGAGCCAATGTCAGAAACACTAGCATATACCAGCAGCCCTCGCCTCAACTGTCCGCACTGATTACGCATACTCGGCAACCGCGCGGACCTACTCAACCACACTAGACAAGTCAGTGTTAAGTCGCCGCAGACCAAACTCCATCACCAAGTATTTCGCACAAGCCCAGACATCACAAACAAACCCATCAAACATCTCCAACCACAGGAACGGGATAGTTAACTTTTGCGCAAGTGGAAAGCGCCTACTTCGGTTTCTTCTCTGTGTGGTCTCCATGGCATCCGCACGCATTTAATATTGGAACCGATAACCCCTTCTGTGTTTTGCAGGGACCAGGCTTAGGACGGTACACACAGACGTGCTGTTTAGCTCTGTCATCTACTTGCGCCCAATCCCCACATCAGATGACTGACCAGTTCGGAAGTCGGGCTGAAAGCTAGGAGAAGGAACGGAGGCTTAGGTGGACTCTAAAAACTCCGTACCCGCCGTATTTGACGCATATTCTTCGTCATAAACAACCTAATTGACTTTGAAGCAATCGCGGTGAGCTAAAAGCCATGATTTTGAAGACTGTCAAATGACAGTTCGACCATCGGTTTCGATGATGTCCACCGTGTGCCCCACAGTTGCAGCAGCAATGGGAGCAGGGACGGTGACTTACGCAGGGGTTTATAGTGCCGGTAGACTTGCGTAGCATCTACCTACACTCTCTCCTCCTCACTCGCCCGAGCCCGGTGTCAAGACAGAGTCAAGAAGACCGGAGACGAGAGAGACCGCAGGTGGATGGCTCGGACGGATCCTCACCTTGGCGTTCCACCACACCCCCCTGGTCCACACAACAAATAACCAGGATTTCAACCAACACAAGAGAGATTTGGAGGCTGGCACGGCCGAAGCCGCACCTGGGCGTGTCGCCAACGCCTGGCTCGGATCCCACACTGTGATGGGAGTGCCATAAAGGCCACATTAAAAAGGAGCCATTGCAGCCTGACTCTCAGACCGCCTCCGGTCAAGGAGGAGGTCCAAGATACCCCGTCAGTTGGCAACCTTCCAAGCCACGGCTTTTAGCGCACCGCGATAGCTTCAAGCGCGTCAGATTGTTTATAGTGAGGAGAAAGTGCGCTGAGTCGTCGACCTCACTCTCCCTTCCCACTCCCATACCCCAGCCGCCGTCCGAGCCGGTCAGCAGACTGAAGTGAGGAATGGGCGCGGTGGCTGTCATGGTCGACTGACCATGACTCCGCTCGCCACGGCACGACCTGGCCCCCCATACACACAACACCAGGAGTTCCCACAACGGGGGTTGAACGGCGTGTC